CTGGGTTTGTATATGATGAGCGCTTTCTCTTCACCAAAAGGATCAGTTGCTTGACCTGAAGAAACTGGAACTCCAGCTGGTGCAAATTTGCATCTTACACTGGCTGTTCTTTCATATGAGCAATCTCCCTGTTGCTGCAGGTCCTCCATCTTGGGAGGTTTTTAAGAAGGGCCATCTCTCAAGGACAATTTAATTGGTTTTCCTGCACATTCCAGAAGGTTGGGCTAGATCAGTGTTTTTCAAACCTGGCAACTTTAAGATGGGTGGAATTCAACTCCCGGAATTCTGGGAGTTGAAGTCCACCCGTGCTGGCTAGGGAATTCTGGGAGTGGAAGTCTACCATCGTAAAGTTGCCAAGTTTGAAAAACACTGGACTAGGTGATCCTTGGGGTCCCTCCCCACTCTTCAGATCGATGCTTTTGTGTTCGGAACTCAAAAACATCATGTTCCCATTGGCAGGGGCGAGATTAATTGCTCTGAGATGATTCCATCAACTCCAAGAGCGCCTTTAATTAAGCAAGCAGAAGATTGCACATTTTTGAAAGTCTATTGTTTACGTGCTTGCTAATAAAGGGTCAGGTGGCCAATAGGAAGGCATTTCATGGGGGATGAGATCCCTACAGAAAAAGCTTTCTGCGTTTGGAGTTCCTTAGGTTAGAAAACAGGCAAGTGATTGCAAAGGGAAAACCATGATACCAGAGTACAGAATTGGGCATGCAATTTTCCATCGTGCTGAAATCAAATTACCAAGAAAGTTGAAGGCTGGGAGGTTTCGGACAGACTCCGGGGAGTCCTGATCAGCAGTGCTTGGAAGAACCTCTGCTTGAGGCCGGTCATGATTTACCAGAATAGCTTTGGGGCCCACAGAGGCATTCTTAGAAAATGAAAATGGGCAGCTGCGAGAGAAACTCTGCTTTGGAAGAGAGCCCATTTGCACAGAGGAGACAGCAGTAGGCTGGCATGATAACGTTCTGGCAGAAAATCACCCTGCTATTTGCATAGGAACGGCTCAAGCCCTGCCTTTTCTGGTCAGTTGGCAACCCCAGTGGGAGAGTTTCTCCAGCCTCAGCTGTTGCCACGGTTGGGTGTTGGGTCACCCTTGGTGCTCCAAGGTCACACTGCAGGGTCTCCAGAAATGTCCTAAGGGGACCCTGATGGTGTCTTCCATGTTAAAGGTGGAGGAGTTTATGAAAACATTAAGGCAAAGAAGAGAAGCATCGAACATTAGCCAACTTCAAGCCATTTCCTGACAACTGGGATTTGTATTGATTTTTTTAGATCCCCCTGATGCATAATTCAGCTTTTTGTGTTAGGGAGGTGACATCTGTCAACAGGAACTTAATGCTTTTGATTCAGAAGTGCACCAGGCTGCTAATGCAGGGGGTTGCTTGTTTAATGGGAACAAGAACCATTAAATAATGTGTCCATTAGGCCTTGCCGATGAATAATTTACTTCATCAAACTTTCTCTGCTCTCTCTCCATTTCTCTGCCTCTCCCTCCCCTCCCTTCCCCTGGGTTTCCCCGTCTTTATTTAATTTTTTTCTGCAATGCAGCACACCATCTGAATTCAAAGACATTCAAAACTTCAAAATGTGAAAGCGTCCCATCTTCAAGCCCGTGGGACGAGGTCTGTCCTGTGAAGAAAGGGAAACATGGACGCCCAACAAGCCGCCCCAGATCTTTTAATCCGGGAGGTTTGATTTAACCTGGCTCAAGGCACGGGTGAAAATCTCAAGTGATTGCTGGTTGGGGTGCTGTACGTTAAGATTAGCAGTCCCTTCCGAGAAGAACCCAAACAGGAAAAAGAAAAAGAGAAAAAATTGCCTGTTTTTCTTAAAGAGTGTCGTTATGGAACTTCCCTTCCTCCTCCTTGCAAACCCACCACTCCATTTTCATGCATGCCAGAAGTGTATGCTGTAGCTCACCTCCCCTGTCCTAGGCTTCTGCGCTCAACTCTTCTCCATCGGATGTTTCCCAGGCTGGAGAACGTGGCTGGCTGAAATTTCTGGATTGTGATGGATGCAAGACCTGACCTAGACAATGTTAGATGAGGCGGTGGTCTCCTTGGACTTTTGGCTTCCACCCGTGAACTCAGTTTAGCACCTCAGGACACCAGGGATGAACGCATCCATGGGACACAGCCACAGAAAGTGGATTTCTTCCACCTCCAGATTGCCTTCCCTGCTGTGCACCGCTGACCAGTTTTCTCCTGGGGAAAAACTGAAAATGCTCTATTTTGTAGATGTGGTGGCTTGCCAAAGTCTTGACTCCTGTCCTAGAATGAACTTTTTCTCCTTGCGTTACCTTCTCTCCAGTCCAACTGTAAGGACATCGCTTTTTCTCCTTGAAACTGGCTCCACTCTTTTTTTTTTCTTGGCAGGAACGTGTCTGATTTTCTCTTTACAATGTCTGTAATGCATCTGTTTTGATCATGCCTCTTTCCAGTGGCTGTATTCATCTGTCTGTGAGTTGTATGAAGCATGTATTATCCAGAGAACAATGGCTCCTTGGTGGATAGCGGCAGTAATTCGGGTGGCCTTGGGTGGGGGATAAACCGGTCCTTTCTGTGTCTTTTTGGATGACCTGATCTGCAGAAAGAGAAGCTCGGAAATTAAAGTTATTGCCTGCCCCTTGAACTTCTGCTAAAGACACAGTTTTTGGGGTTACCCTGAGAAGTTGACAAACTCAAGTGGTGGCGGTGGGGAGATGAAAAGGCGGCACTGAAATTTAATCAGGTTTAGCATGTTGTTACTGTGAAGGAAATATTAGCCTCTTACCCTTTGTAGTGCTGGACCCAGCAATTCTTGATCATGGGTTGAATGGCAACGAGAAACGGAGTGCCTCCCTGTTTAGAAACAGAGGAATATCAAAAGATTCAGTCACTCCTCCTATTTTTAAGGTGCTCTCATGGTCATGAACAAAGGGGATCAAAGCCGCTCGGTGAGGTTGCGGAATTAGAAAAAGTCCTGCTTGTCAAGGGAATCGAAGAATAAACTTGCATTGGTTTGTATATTCCGTTGTTCCATCATTTCTGTATAGATGTGGAAACCAGCTGGGAGGGGACCAAAGACGGGGATTCTTACAGGAGTGACCCCAAAAGTTGCAGGGATCGGGGAAGGGCGGCTGGGGCTGGAAAAGAGGCAGAAAGGAGCAGTGAAAGCAAGGCCAGGTCAAGATGCCTGCTCCAGAGGGAAGCACCAGCTTGGAACAGAGTTAACCAACCAGGTAGTCTTATCTGCGGACTCAGAATTAAGTCCCACCAGCTGGGTCCACGTACTACGTTTCTCCTCCATCTGGATTAAGAAAACTCAGTAGGTGACTTCTTCCACTCTGCCCAGACGTACACCGCGGTGATACAGTATGGTTTGGTGATCCATGCAATGTGTGAAAACTGGATCCGCCCAACCCCATGAAATCCCAAACCACCCAGTCTTAATTTGTACTAGTCTAGGATGTTGGGTGAACCTGGCCACTGGGTTCACTGAATGCAGTCTAGGTGAGTCCACAAAGAACTGCCATCTATGGACCGGAGGGTCCGTGGTAAACCTAACCCACTGTAATTTTGTACTGTTCTGCTCTGGCTTCATACGTAATGTGACATTTGCCATCGGAATTTGTAAACCAGAGTTTGGCGCTTAGCTGTGCCAGCCAGCCCATGGTGTGGCATTCAGGCTCATGCTAAGCTGTGGCTTGTTTAAGAAGTCATAGAGGCTTGGCTCCTCCATTGTGGGGAGATGGGCGGGGACAAGTTAAATAAATAAATAAAAATAAAATAAAATAAATATCACACCGTCACAAATCGTGGTTTAGAGATGACAAGGGCTGGGCTGACAAAATCGCTTAAGCCAAACCACAGGACTGGATAGTTTGCTGTGTGAACCCAGTGAATGCAAGAAGCGACTTGCCAAAATAGAAAAAAAAAATGCCTGGGTAATTCCAGCAGACTTCACTGCATGTTAAACCTGGCTAGTTTTAATCTTGGGTTGTTTTTTATGACTTCTTGCTCCTCTCTGACCCCAAGACTGTGTTCACACAACCCACAGAACTACAATAACTAACCACATTTTCACTTAGAACCTGTGGCCTTCGTTTATGCTTCAGCATATATGCAAACCCATCGGATGGGTTGATTTGGTAAATACACCAAGTGTGTTGTATGAATCTAGCCTTGAAGCGCAGCTGGGCTTGTATGGCACGCAGCTCCCTCAACTGACCACGCAGGTGGGGTTTACAGGACATACTAAACTCCTAATTCAGTGGGTGGGTGTATTTGATATATATGCGAACCCTTCACGATCGCATAGACAACACAAACCGAATCCCCCATGAAAATGCTTCTCTTTGGGGTTGATATCTTAGGACATTAAAAGAATGTGTGACTTGGCAGGTTCGTGCCACTAAACTCAAACGGGAATTCACAAAATTGCCATACAGTATTCACGTGGAACGGGTTGAAAGCCATGTCTGAAATACTTCAGCTTAATTTGATGGCCTGGTTCATACTACATGCAAAGACAGCAGCTGGGTTTCCCGGACGGTGTCTTGGAGGTCAGACCACCCCACTCCTTTTTAGCTGTAATTAGCAAGTTGGGCCAACATAATTTTGTTGTCTTAAGAGTGGGACAGGAGTGCATTCTGGCCTTCGGCTTCAGCTGTCAGATCCTCCCCTCCTTCCTTACCATTCTAAGCATTTCTGGATGACTCAAGTCCCAAATCTCTGCCTCCCCGCCTTGGCATGGTTTACAGGCAGAGACAGATGGGGCAGGAAACTGATGCTCAGCGTCCCTGGATCAGGTTAGCCTCCTCCAGGTCTTGAGGACAGCTGGGCTGCAAAACAGCAGTGCCTGCATAACCCTGATCTGTAATCTTAGAGAGGACCTGCTAAATATACCCAGATATCTAGATGGGGTGAGAACCCAGCAGACATTTACACCAGTGCCGTTGCGAGAGGTTTTATTTCGGCAAGTGGCCAAGCTCCCAGACCAGTTGCCTGGGAGGCCCAGATCTGCCTCTGCATCAGTGTGCGGTTGAGCCCTCCGGGGTGGCCCATGAAGCTGGACTGATGTTGTTCCAAGGTTTTAGCCCTTGGTTTCTATCAATAAATGAATAGGAGGCCAAGTCACAGCCAGGTCAACCTTGGCCTTGTGCCAGCATGGTGTAGGGGTTTAGATGTTGGTCTGGGAAGGGAAACCTAGGTTGACACAGCCATGAGAGCGCCCTGGGTGACTCTGGGTTGGTCATTTTCTCTTATCCCAACCCACTTCAGTTTGTTATGATTGCACTGTGGGAGATGCCATCTGGACTTTTTTGACATCCTGGGTACAAGCCTATGTTTGAATGAAAGTGAAACTGGGTTTACTAAACACTGTTTTGTGGGTTCCCACAGGACACCAAACACACAATAAGCAAATCATGTCGGCTGACTTTGCACTCTAGCTTAGCATAGGGCAGCGTTTCTCAACCTAGACAACTTTAAGATGTGTGGACTTCAACTCCCAGAATTCCCCAGCCAGGGGAATTCTGGGAGTTGAAGTCCAC